CCGATGACCATCAGCCATCAGACATTTTGCAAGAGCGATATATGGCTGAACATCGCCGCGAGACCCTATTGTAAGGAACGTGAAATGTAGAGAAGTGGCTGGTTTAAAAGTCAAGAACGTCGACGAAGCCGAAGTAAACATGACGGCAGGCAGAGAATCGGCCAGAGTATCTGAAGTAGATGTCGGAGCTGGATCGGATTCACTTGCAGTAGCATCAAATTCTTCCAAGATTAATGCCTGCCGTTTCCCTGGAGAAGTCGGATTCAATTCACCCTGTGCCAATCGTTCGCGGACGTCTTCAACTTGACGATCTAACAGCTTGATGAAGGCATCACGCTTGTCTTCAGCATTGAATTCAAAGAAGAGCTCTTCATGGCCTTTGATGATTATGATGAGACCATGATGGCCAAAACGGGTAGCTTTGGACTTCTCTGTGGCTAGAATATCGCGAATTGGCAACGTCATCTACATAATAGCACTGGTGAGTCAAGTTTTTTCAAGAATCTGGAAAAACTCCAACCCTTGTTCGAAATGTCAAAGGTCCGCTAGACTTGAAACAGAAAAAGTTGGTAGATATATAGAGTCTCCCGAAAACAGGCAAGAGTCTATATAGATATCCTGGGAAAACTAGGAATATACAATTGAGTGACGAAATTGATCTCGAGAAATACGCTTACATCCAAGCAAAGTCTCCTTCTCATCATATGCAAATGCCGTACGGAATTTCTCGGTGGTTTCAGCGTCCACCGAAATCTCGGGCGTTTCCAGAACACTGAACGCCAAGTCGCCCATGGTTGAACGGCTAGTTGGGTATGACGGGGAGACCGTTGTCGATGAATACATTTCTTTGACACCGGCGGAGGTAGTGGTCGTTTGGTCGCTTGAGAGTGAGCCACCAAACACGCGCCGCGTGCTCTTAAGCCAAGACGGAACACCGACCCAGGAACTGCTCTCTCTGCTCAATGAAGGATGATCAGGATCAATGCGTGAATTGGAAGTAGAGGGTGGGTACGTGTGTTCATTCGCAGGCAATGATTTGCTTGTTTGGTCAGGATGTGTCTCTGGAAGACCCTCCGTGGGTTTGGGTGAGGTAGTGACTGGAACGAAGGATGATGAATTTGGGCGCTTCGAAACATGAGTAAAGTCTTCTGTTTCGAGTGACCCTTCGGACACGGTTGTTCTGAAAGTATCTTGGAAAGGTCGTAGTAGCGACGAGAGGCGGAAAACAGAACTTGACTTCGTAATGTTGCTGTCCAAAGGTAGACTTGCAGTTCGATCAGGACTGAAGGAAGGCCGCGATTGCGTTGTATCAAGAACAGTGGGCGGAGATGATGGCGGGTCAGGTTGATTTCGATGATCTCGGACGGCGTTTCGTATATGTTCGAGGGCTTCGGGTATGTCATGAAAATAGGCAAAAAAGTAGGAATCAACAGACGAGTCTTCATTCTTGTCAAACACTTTGACCTCAATGGTTTCACTGAAGTCCATTGCACTAGACTTATCGACGTCAATGATCAAAGAGTAGGGGACGGCAATCTAGTGATAAGGTTCACAAAATTATTAAATGAATAGAAACAATCAATAGAACAAGAGACCTTGACACAGTCGCCCATGTTTTGAGCTTTAAAAATGACTTTACGAATAGCTTTTACCCATTCTTCGCGGCTTGGAACTGAATCTGCAGACAAAATTACTGTCTTCTGATTTGTACGAATCCGGAACCCTCGATCGCCCTCGGCTTCACAAGAAATAGCGTAACGCAGATCGACAATACCGTGAGGAAAGTATGGGTCCTATAGATGTTACACCGTCATCAATTTATTCCTATGATACAGAAATCGTGCCTTACGGAAGAGGACTGATACCATGAAAGAGCATCATTCTTCAGAACAAACCAATGTTTTATCCAACGCTTTGTCCTTTGCGCTTTCTTATTGAGTGATCCAGACTTGAGGACTTGATCCTGTAAAGATTGTGAATAAGAGAGGACCTAATCCTTGATAGACAACCGGACCTCTCGCGAAGGCATATGCGCGAAAAAACAGAGATACGAGTTGGTTAGGTACATATAACCTTGTAATACTGGGGTGCGAGATTAGCCTCGCAGTAGATATTTTAAAAGCGGTTACTGACATATAGACCTAAGGAGCCAGCAAGGCATTTCTAAGAACCCGTGAGAGGTGATCATGGCAAGATGATGAAGTTGATAAACCTGCTCGAACTTCCTCAATTGCATCCAGTTCAAATACTTCCTTGAGCTTTTGCGCTAGACCTGCTCTGCGCTGGAGCCGGATAGTACCAAGACTGCCAGCACGGGACGGCATTATCCTTGGATGGTGACGTGAATCTGCTCGACTTGTCTGATTATCTGATGGAGAAATCAATCCCATCAGAGGGGAACGCCTCGCAAAGGGGGAACTTGGAGGACGTGGAGTCTCTTCAAAGTCTTCAACTTCTTGCTCCCCTTCCAAAATCAGAGGCTCTGGCTCTTCACTCACGTCACCTACGAGACGATGGGAAAGACCCAGGGTAGGTTCCTGCGTTGGATAAGATATACTCAATTTTTTGGACCGTGCTAAGGGACGGTGAATGGTGTGAATTGAGGAAGCTAAATATACTAGAACATAAGGGAGATGTAAAAGCCGCCTAATTACAGTGAGAATAGCTGCTTACGTTGTTCTGATCCCTCCTCTTCGTCGCTTGAGTTCGCATCTGTCCCCATGATATCTTCATCATTATCAACTTCAGCCCATGGAAGCGCTTGAAGCGCCTGAATGAGAGTCTGAGTTCCTGCTCGCATCTATAGTTAATATGATCCCGTAAATCAACAGCTGTCGATGTGTCCAGACTACCTACCGATCCATCCCCGCGAAAAGGACTCAATGGCGGTCGAGTAGGCGGTGGAGATGGAGGCGTAATAAAAGGAGATTCTTCATTGAAAGTCTTGCCTTGTATGGGTGGCTTGAATGGTATTGGGGCGGGAAGCAAAGGAAATCCTTCGCGAGGTGCGATAGAGGTCGATGTGTTAGCGGGTTTTGGCAAGGTGGAACTTGAGGCACTCTGGGTTAAATTCAAAAATGCAGGTAATGACTCTGATCGCAAGTCAACTAACATCCTGGAAAACAGACATTCGCGCACCTTCAACATCTGCAGAGTTCTCTTTGGTCTTTCCCTTCCGACTAAGGCTGAACAGGCGACTACGGCCCGCTGGTGGCGGAGTCGTAGGACTCGTACGCCCGCTTATTGCAATAAAGCCACGACTGAGCTTATCAACCGACTTCTCGACGACTGCAGAAAGTCGCTTAACGCGACCCGGTGTGGATGTGATTTCCTTGGGAGGCGATTGAGGTTCCAGCTCCAGCTCCGGAGCTTCTGAGGAATTTTCAACGGCTGGAGCGACAGCAGGTATGTGAAAGAAAGTCTTGAAGTTTGTGGGATTGCTCATTACTGAGCAAGTCCCAGCTGAAGATGAAGGAAGAGTGGCACTCCGAAAGGCAGAGCTTAATCGGGAACGGCAGTTGCCGATCGTGGGATGTTCCAACAGCGTTCGACACGTTCTTGTCGCGTGTTCGCGAACAGGTGTTCCGCTGTGCCCTGAGGTTCTTAAATCGCGGCTGGTCGTCATTTTTCGTGCACAGTTTGCTTTGTTTCCACTCTTGAACACTGCTCGTCTGCCAAAGATGCGTGGTGAGGTATGTGTCTCTGCGGCCACACTACTGTCGTATGTTCAACTGAGTTGATCGTAGTTTCTACCAACACTGATCACGTTCCTTCCAGGTTGGCCGCGTTGCTGCTTATGATCTTTGTACATGTGCGCCTTCTTATATCCTCTTGAACTTCACACATCTCTAAAGTTTCACTCAAGGTTGGTCAAATTAACACTTCTACCGTCCCTCGGAGCATCGCAATGGTACATAATGCTTCTATATCTATCGAGGAAGCCTAGCTTATCTTCTACAGGCTAGAGTCAATGTCTCACAATATAGGCGAGTACAAGTCACCGTTGTTTGCCAAACATATCTGATCTTTTCTGTTTTAGCTCGGCCCTTGAACTCTCCTTTACCGACCCATTCGGCAGTATATATACAACCAATGCCAGTGCTTCCCTCGGAGTCCAAGCTGGCTTACGATACTTTTATGACTTTGGCCTGTACTCGTATTGCGCTTACTTGAACAATTCCCAAGGAACGTGCGGTAATATGACTGTTGGCGAGCAATATCGACCTTACGACGCGATAACCTCGGACATGGCAGCAAACTACTCAAGAATAACACAAGCTCTTGTACAGGGAACAACTTTCATGGACTCGTCCTATCTCGGAGGCGCTACCAAGGCTGCCTACTGGATGTTGCTGCTAGGTACACTCTGTGCTTTATTGGCAGCACTCACGTTAGTCTTCATATTATCACAGTAACCACAACTGATTTTCTGCCAGTGGCTTCTTGAAGAATCACCTTTCGTTCTTTTTTTCATCGATTTTCTCTGTGTCTGGTAGCATCCTCCTCCTTATTGGAACGAGTATCTGGACTATCATGATTAAGAAGTCAGATGGTGTTAATGACCTTTTAATTGGTGATCAGGCAGATGCGGTTCCTATAGGAATTATCGTTACATTAGGGACCGGTTTATACTTGTCCTGGGCGGCATTCGTCTGTCTGGCGATATCAATTATCCCCTACATGATCAGGTAGGTCACATTGTACTCTTTGTTAGTAGAGATATTGACTCTCAAGTTGTATAGTTGCTGTACTTGGAAAGGGTGATTGGCATAGAGCAGCCGATGCAGGCCATCGAGATGAACGACAAAGATTGAATCTCTATGTAACCATTTCAGAGGACAACATTATGTATATACCTAGGATACTCGCAAAAACATTAGAATATGCGAAATCATCTGATAACATAACAACAGTTCTTGCAAGAAAAAACAAATTCAATAAGGACTGGCTGACAGTAAAAGTATTCATTACTTATACATATATATTCTTATATAATATATAGCCCACCGCGAGGGTCGAACTCGCAGCCTTCAGATTGTCAAGGACCACTAACCCCTTAAGAGTCTGACGCTCTATCCGATTGAGCTAGGCGGGCCCTGTATTGACGATAATCAGTAACAATAAGTATAATGTGAAGCGGAAACATGATAAAAATTGGACCTGAGGTGCATTGATATTGTGTACCGAGCGCTAAAATAGACCTAGGCCTAGAGGATGCATATATATATCCGGGTATAGTTTGCACCGGGCCTCCTGAGATCATTACTTCCGTGAGGAGGGAATGGACAAATCTCCCACAACAAATACCTATCAGAGGGTCGCACGGCGGGCTGTGTTGGCCGCCGCAGCTTTTCTTACTTTCCCTCTTCCATCTACAATACCCTAATATTGTTGGCCTCATCTTGACATTCCATTCCAGACATGCGTTTCAACTTAAAAGACGCTGCACTTGCTGCAGTGTTTTCATCTTTCTTCGCTTCGACACAGGCCATCACTCGAGTCACTCGCTCTGGAAGATACCTTTATAACGAGGATGGCAGTCGTTTCTATATCAAAGGAATAGCATACCAAGAACAAGGTACGCATGTTTTTAAACTCCTAGTTGTGTCTTACATTGTTTACGACTTACTGCAGGCGCCGTCGTCCAGAGTGACGACAATAGTTTCGGAGAACCTTCAACTTTCATCGATCCATTGGCTTTACCGGATGCCTGCTCCCGCGATCTACCATTCTTACAGCAGCTCAATGTCAATACCATCCGTGTGTACAGCGTGAACTCTTCTCTCAATCACGATGCATGCATGTCGACCTTCAGCAGTGCGGGAATCTATGCAATGTGATTGTCTCTTGTTCGAAAAATCAATCGATTTAATCCATCTCATGGTTTTAACAGCATTGATCTTGCCCTTCCTCTTAATGGTTCTATTGATCGAGTCACTCCCTCGTGGACGACCAGTCTTCTGGACCAATATATCGCGACCATTGATGTCTTTAGCAAGTACGACAATGTTTTAGCATTCAACGTTGGAAACGAGGTGGTTGTTCAAAACGGAACTGCTGTCTCCCCGTATGTCAAAGCAGCCGCTCGTGATGTGAAGGCGTATCTGTGCGTTACCGTCTCCTATCAACAGCTTAAAAATCAATCAATCAATTTTTCACAATTCTCAGAAAGTCAAAATCCTCGTCTGTCCTTGTCGGCTACACTGCTATCAATGGTCCATCGCAATTTCGCGACCCCCTCGCCAATTACCTTTCATGCGACCCATCCAACACCAACTCAGACTCAACCGCCATCGATCTTTTCGGCCTTAATGATTAGTATGATCTTTTCTTATTGGCTTACGGTACTTGTGCTCATAAGCGACACAGTTCTTGGTGTGGCAACTCATCCTTTGAGGCTGCGTATGCCAACACATTTAGTGAATTTGCTGGTTACAATGTCGCTGCATATCTCAGCGAATTCGGGTGTATCACCGATCCCCCGCGCCTTTGGACTGAAGTTGATTCTATCTTCAGCTCTGAAATGTCCCCTGTCTGGTCTGGTGGTGTGGCCTTTTCCTACTTCCCTGCAAGTAGCGTCCAAGGTCAATTTGGCATGGTGAACATTTCCCCGGACGGTTCAGCTGTAACCACTAGTGACGATTTCGACCGACTGAAAGCACATTATGATCAGGCCTCGGGGCCGAATTCTCCATCAGAGGGAAGTTCTACAAACAATTATCCAAGCTGTCCTGCCGCCAACAGCTCTTTCGTTGCGTCAACTACTCTTCCACCTACTCCAAATGAATCTGCGTGCGATTGTCTTGAGAGTACTCTTAGCTGTAGGTTCCAACCGGCGACCAGTAACTACTCTGCAATCGTTGGTGAACTTTTGGACACTGCATGCAGCTTTGTCGGTCAAAAGGGCGGAACTTGCAGCGACATTGGAGGTGATGGACAAGCCGGAGTCTACGGTCGCTTATCTGGCTGCGACCCAAGTAGGTCTTTAACTAAATAGTCTCCTACGCCGTACTGACACTGCGAACAGCTATTAAGCTGTCCTTCGCGATGAGCACCTTCTATCAATTCAGTAATCGAAACCCACAGGCGTGCAGCTTCGCTGGCAATGGTACTATCAACCCATCCGCCCCCACCGACACCTCTGCTGCCAATGCTGCTGCAAGCTCCTGTTTCTCTAATGTCGCTGCGACTTTTGTGCCATCTGCCCCTGCAAGCACTGGGGGCATCTCAAGCACTGGATCCTCGACGTCCTCTTCTTCCCCTAAAAGCAATAATAATGGCACTGCCAGTCTCATTGGCAGCAGCGCATTTCTAGGCATGATCGCAATGACTCTTGTCAGCATCGCCAGCGCTATGTGGACCTTTGCTTGAACGTCAAAGAATCCTGATCACAAGTGTTCACTTCTCGATATCTTACTGGACGATGAACACTGTCATACCCCTGATTGACTCACCGGGAAGCTACTAGCGAACAGACTTATGCTATGCAGTACTACAAGTATATCATTACCATCTTTAGTGTATTCGGACAGTCTCTAGGAGTGCCCCATCTTTGCTATGGTCTTTAAATATCACCCGTCTTGCTGATGACTTGGAATGCACGGACCCCAAAAGCGGAGCTTGAAAAAAATGATCCTGTCTCAATGTTTGTTTGAACATTCCGTTGTGCCACTATACGTGAACATCCATCTCTTCATGGCTCCTCCAACTAACGACGTCGACCAACCTTCACACCAGCAGGATAACTGGGTCCCGCAAGATGAACAACATATGGGTCCAGGCGGCGGAGTTGAGCCTCCGAATGGAGCGTCTTTACCTCCTGACGACGACCGTGCTCTGGGTCAAGGCCCCGAAAACCCAGATTATCCTCGCGGATCCAGCGCAGGTGCAGTTAGCGCTACTGAAGGCAAAGATATTACTTTTCGTGAGAAGCAAGTCAAGGTGCTTAGGTCTCTTCTTGTCTCTTCATGTCTCTTCTGCGACATTTTACACCGCCTCGCTCATTACCACGCGTGGTATTCGACGCCGAGCTAGTGCTTCGTCCAGTACTACTATTAATAATTCTTAGCTTGGTTGCTTCGGATTTCCACTGTTGCTTTCGTACTATCGGAGGCTTACTCTGGCTCGGGGCTGATTGCAACTTCTCTTGTCGTTTCCTTGTGTATCCTCGACTGGGTGTTTACCTTCTGCTGTCCAGCCGAATAAAGTCTATATTGGTGGTCTACCCGAACACACTCAACAAGAGGATCTTCAAAGTTGCTTTGGAAAAATCGGAAATATTGTAAACATTGAACTAAAGTGGGTAATCTATGGCTTCATCACTCTCCTTATTCATCGCCCATTGCAGAGTCGGATATGGCTTTGTTGTGCGGCTTCTGCTTTGTTAGGTTTGCCTATGTCTCACGTTTGCATAGGAATTCGACACACGGGAGGCTGCCGAGGAAAGTGTAGCGAAATACCATGAAGGCTATTTCATGGGAAACAAAATACGCGTTGAGTTGTCGAGAGGTGGCGGTCGCACTGCCAAATATACCGGAGATCCCGGCGCTTGTTTTAAGTGCGGACAAATGGGTCACTGGGCAAGGTTTGTGGCTGCCTTTGAGGGTCAGGTCTGCTCTGATCACCTTTCGTTCCTTTGTAGAGAATGTCCCAACCATACCGGCCTGTGAGTTTTAAGTCGACCTTTCATCTTGCCCCGCCCTAATTCAAGCATCGATAGAATAACTCCCAGACGCGCGTACGAATATCCGTTATTTGACCCCGCTCACCCCGACTACACTAATCCATTCCGCAGAAATATGCCACAGCGCGAAGACGTGGCAATGGGACGCCCCCGGGACGCCCGTTATGATTATCCGTCGAGTCGTGACTATCGTCGGCCTCCCTCTCCCAGGGATTATCGGGACTATCCGGCACCTCCTTCTGGTGTTCGCGGGCGAGAATACGATGATTATAGACGTGGACCTCCCATGCCTGACCGCGAGAGATACCCACCTCCCCCTGCAGACTACAGGGGTCGCTATCCTCCACCTCCTGATGCAAATTATCGCAGCTACGGCGGCCCCCCTTTACCACCTCCACCACCTCCTTACTACGATCGTTACGAGAGAAGACCCGGTGGTGAAAGGTTTCCGCCTGGATACATGCCTCCTGGGAGTGGTCGTCCAAGGACTCCACCCCGGTATAGGGAAGATTTTGAAAGAATGCCTCCCAACAGGTGAGAAGTTACGCCATCAAATGAGTCTTTCATATAAGGAGGTGCACAGGGAATTTGATTATCGGGGTCGCCCCCCAAGCCCGCCTCCCGCCCGGTATGATGAATATCGTGGAGTCCCTTTGGACCAATCTGCGCCTGGGAGATATAAGTAGGACCTTGTTTCACGTTGTGTTTTCTTGCTTGCATTAAGATCTTGTTAGGCGTCGCTCGGAAAGCCCTCCACGCTCCTATGATCATCCTTATCCTGTTGGAACAGCCTATGGCAACAACTATCCTAGTGCTGCGCCAGGTGGACCCCATCCATCCGGTGCTCCTCCACGCTCCGGCCCTCCTCAACGAGATTACATTCCTCCCCGCAATGGACTGGAACCCAATTCTGGTTATAGAAGACACTAAGGCTCGATCTTTCGTGGCCTTTGCCGTGAGTATCTAATAAACCTGGCTCCTGATGCCGGTATACTACATGTGTTGTCGCCATCGTTCCTCATCCGATTTTTAGTACTTTGGTTTTAGTTTTGAATGCATTTTTTGTTTCGATCATCGATCTACTTCCCCAGTGCTACAGATGGTCAGGTAACAGTTCAGCGCTCATGTGCTATATCTGAGCCTGCCTCTCAGACTAATTCATCATCTGCCTTTTCCTTCTGACATTGCGTACAGCAAATCCTTATCTCCAGATTCATCGACCAGGGCCTTTAGTTTACCATCTGGGTTTCTAAGTAGCATTTGGGGATTATCAAACTCAACCTTCAATTTGGATCAAGTCAAGGTAGTGTTCAAGGTGTCGAGGGAAGACTTACGATTCGCCCGGCATCGAGCACAAGCTACAATTACAAGCATCAATCAAATATTATCACGATGTCCCAAAGAATGAGACT